TATCTGGCCACATTCCAGTGCTTCAAAGGAGTGTCTTTCTCCTTGAGCACAGTGTTTATAGATAAGAGAGCAGGTCACGCTCTGGTCATGGGAACGTGATGGCAAATAGAAGGCTTTCTTCCTCAGAGGCCTCTTGTGGCTTTCCACAACTTATTGTCCCATATTTTTATGGCCAGTTTATACAGGCACCCCACAAGCCCTTTTCCCAACAGTTCTACCAAAAATGACTTCCACCCACATTCTATTGGCTAAATCCAATAAATTGCATGTTAGAATGCATGTTGACATTACCCATTGGTTGTGTTTTGACAATTTTCATCCACATCAAATAAGAATAAATATAGCTTATTGGCCGGGCATGGTAGCTCACAGCTGTAATCCCAGCATTTTGGGAGGACAAGGCAGGTGGATCACCTGAGGTCAGGAGTTCGAGACCAGCCTGGCTGACATAGTGAAACCCCGTCTCTACTAAAAATACAAAAAATTAGCCAGGCATGGTGGTGGGCACCTGTAATCCCAGGTAGTCGGGAGGCTGAGGCAGGAAAATGGCTTGAACCCAGGAAGCAGAGTTTGCAATGAGCCACGATCGTGCCACGGCACTCTAGGCTGGGCAACAGAGCAAGACTCCATCTCTAAAGAAAAAACACAGCAAAAAAAGGAATATACCATGTTTATTGTTGATTTCCACATGGAATGGGTTAATGCATGTGTGTATCTAATTTCTGTCATTAATATTTTATCTTTTTTTTTTTTTTTTTGGAGATGGAGTCTCACTCTGTCACCCAGGCTGGAGTGCAGTGGTGCGATCTTGGCTTACTGCAAGCTCCACCTCCCGGGTTCACGCCATTCTTCTGCCTCAGCCTCCTGAGTAGCTGGGACTACAGGCACCCACCACCATACCTGGCTAATTTTTTTTATTTTTTATTTTTTTGAAATGGAGTTTTGCTCTTTTTGCCCAGGCTGGAGTGCAATGGCACGATCTCAGCTCACCACAACCTCCGCCTCCTGGGTTCAAGCGATTCTCCTGCCTCAGCCTCCCGAGTAGCTGGGATTACAGGCATGCACCACCATGCCTGGCTAATTTTGTATTTTTTTTTTTTTTAGTAGAGACGGGGTTTCTCCATGTTGGTCAGGCTGGTCTTGAACTCCCATCCTCAGGTGATCCACCTGCCTTGGCCTCCCAAAGTGCTGGGATTACAGGAGTGAGCCACCGTGCCCGGCCGATTTTTTATATTTTTAGTAAAGACAGGGTTTCACCGTGTTAGCCAGGATGGTCTGCTGACCTCATGATCCACCCACCTTGGCCTCCCAAAGTGCTGGGATTACAGGCATGAGCCACTGCGCCTAGCCAATATTTTGTCTTTTTAAGAACAGATCATTGGCTGGGTGTGGTGGCTCATGCCTGTAATCCCAGCAATTTGGGAGGCTGAGGCGGGTGGATCATCTGAGGTCAGGAGTTCGAGACCAGCCTGGGCAACATAGTGAAACCCTGTCTCTACTAAAAATATAAAAAGTAGCCAGGCATGGTGGCGGGTGCCTGTAATCCCAGCTACTCGGGAGGCTGAGGCAGAATTGCTTGAACCCAGGAGACGGAGGTTGTAGTGAGCTGACACGGTGCCACTGCACTCCAGCCTCGGTGACAGAGTGAGACTCCATCTCAAAAAAAAAAGAAAAAAGAAAAAAAGATCAGTATTTTAATGTATATAAATGAGAAAGTATAAACATAGAAAAATCTAAATTAGTCAAGTAAACACAAATGAGGCTGCAGTGAGCTATAATTGTGCCACTGCACTCCAGCCTGGGCAACAAAGCAAGACCCTGTCTCAAAAAAACAAACAAACAAACAAAAAAAAAACCAGCCTATGAATGTCTCTTTTTTTTTTTGAGACAGAGTCTCTCTCTGTCACCCAGCCTGGAGTGCAGTAGCACAATCTCGGCTCACTGCAAGGTTCGCCTCCCGGGTTATGCCATTGTCCTGCCTCAGCCTCCCAAGTAGCTGGGACTACAGGCACCCGCCTCAGCCTCCCAAGTAGCTGGGACTACAGGCACCCGCCACCTCGCCCGGCTAGTTTTTCGTATTTTTTAGTAGAGACGGAGTTTCACCATGTTAGCCAGGATGATTTCGATCTCCTGACCTCGTGATCCGCCCATCTCGGCCTCCCAAAGTGCTGGGATTACAGGCTTGAGCCACCGCGCCCGGCCGAATGTCTCATTTTTTAAAATAAAGTCAACCTAACCACTAGTCATTCAGAATAGCAATGGGAAACATAATAAAGTCCCATGTTCTACATTACAGTACATTGATAATTCAGATTCACATATTTGTCTGAAACGATCTTTCCTAAACCTCAAAAAATCAAGGTTTTTATTTTGAAACAATTTTAGAGTATATGCAACTGCAATAATAATACAAAAAGATCCCATGTACCCTTGACCAAGTTTTCCCCAATACTAATTATCTTGAAAAACTGTACATCACAAGCATGATATTGACATTGAATCAAGACACAGAACATTTCCATTACCACAGGATTCCTCATGTTGCAATTTTTTTTTTTTTTTTTTGAGATGGAGTCTCCCTCTGTCACCCGGACTGGAGTGCAGTGGTGCCATCTCAGCTCACTGCAAGCTCCGCCTCCCGGGTTCACGCCATTCTCCTGCCTCAGCCTCCCAAGTAGCTGGGGCTACAGGTGCCTGCCACTGCGCCCAGCTAATTTTTTGTATTTTTTTTTTATTAGAGATGGGGTTTCACTGTGTTAGCCAGGATAGTCTCGATCTCCTGACCTCATGATCCGTCCACCTCGGCCTCCCTGGATTTTTGACTATAATGACACTTGCCAGACATTTCATCCAGAGGCAGGAAAAAATACCATCTCACAGAGAAGGGCTGCAAGAGACAATTATGGGAGAATCTTTTTTTTGTAAATACAAAATTTTACTCTGGAATAGTTTTTAAAGACCTAATTGTGTAAGGTACAACTACAAAGTCAATAGACAAAAATGTAGAAGAATTTCTTCGTGACCTTAAAAAATAAAAATGTTTCTTTTTTTCTTTTCTTTTCTTTTCTTTCTTTCTTTTCTTTTTTTTTTTTTTTTTGAGACAGAGTTTTGTTCTTGTTGCCCAGGCTGGAGTACAGTGGCACGATCCTGGCTCACTGCAAGCTCCATCTCCCAGGTTCGAGAAATTCTCCTGACTCAACCTCCTGAGTAGCTGGGACTACAGGCACCTGCCACCACGCCCGGCTAATTTTTTTTTTTTTTTGTATTTTTAGTAGAGACGGGGTTTCACCATGTTAGGCAGGATGGTGTCAATCTCCTGACCTCATGATCTGCCTGCCTCAGCCTCCCAAAGTGTTGGGATTACAGGCGTGAGCCACTGCACCCGGCCTCATGTTGCATTTTTATAGCCACATCCACATCCCCCTTGACCTCACTCCCTCCTTAACCCCTGTCAATCACAAAAAGAGACTAAATTTCATGAACTTATTGACTGAATGAAACAAATTTTGGATTGCATAGCATCCTAAAATTACATTACAAAATATGTAATGTTAAAAAATGTACACACAAGGAATTCTGTTCTTGACAGTATTGTTGGACAAATAAGCAAAAGACCTTCTAAAAAGACAGGAAGAAAAGGTCAACATATAATTCAGAGGATAGACAGAGAAGGGAGAAGTGGGCAGAGAATGAGGGAAAGGAATATTTTAAGTGGAAATAGTTGAGAATTTTTGAGAATCAATGAAGGATGTGAATTCTTGGATTCAGGAAGTAAAAAATTAATCTCTGAAATATAAATATACATAAATCCACCCTACAATACAGTATGAATGAAGTCACTGGTTTCTTTCTGTCCAAAGGATTTAAAAATTTTACCTGGAATATTCATGGAATACAAAAGAAAGTGGTAGCAGTGACTGACCCTAGAAAGTGTGGACTGAGATACCCAACCCAAACTAGCCCACTCTCCCACAGGCCAAAATCCAGGCCTTCTTAGAAAGGGCAGAGACATGGTTCAGAATGGCAGAGATGTAGGACTAGCCTGGAAGTCAACCTCTTGGTAGACGGCAAAAGCCATCTTCAGAGAGATGCCACTACCTCTTATTACTTGCTGTGAAGCCACCCAAGTACGTGTTAGAGGCTGGTCCTGCTGGGTGTCACACACTACAGGAGCCAAGGGCTACTGCTGCAAGCCCTACAGGAGGCTGACAAGAGTGAAACAAAACTAAGAAGAGAAACAACCTCCTCCTCTAGTGTCCTCCCCGCACTCTACTGGCAGAAATGAACATCATGCCAGGTGACAAAGGAGAAATGTTCGCAGAACCCAGTTCCAATACTGTAGAGCAGGTAATGAAGGATTCGGAGCCGAGAGGCAGTAAATTGATGGTTAACACAAAGTTTTTAAATTCCTGGAATATATTAAAAAATGAAGTGGGCTGGGTGAAGTAGGTTACGCCTGTAATCCAAGCACTTTGGGAAGCTGAGGTGGCTGGATCACCTGAGATCAAGAGTTCAAGACCAGCCTGGTCAACATGGTGAAAAACTGTCTCTACCAAAAATACAAAAAGTAGCTGGGCATGGCTGCACACACCTGTAGTCCCAGCTACTTGGGAGGCTGAGGCAGGAGAATTTTGAAACTCAGAGGTGGAGGTTGCAGTGAGCCAAGATTGGGCCACTGGACTCCAGGCTGGGCGTGTCTCAAAAAAAAAAAAATGAAGTGGGCCAAATGTGGACTTACGATGAGAATGTGTAATAAATCACGTATTATGAATAACCTACTTTTGTCCAAAAATTTATGAAATTTACATGAAATATTCCTGTTAGAATAAAAAGAAACTGCTAGCAGTTGTTGCACCTGTGGAGAGAAGGTGAGTGGCTACAGAACTGGATGTTAGGGGAGAATTAATTTTCACATTTTTGGTAATTTTTGAATTTTATAATGTGTGCTTCTATTAAACAAAAAATTTAGAAGGTTTTAAAAAATAAATGTGATGCCAAAATACATACGCCAGATACTCTTTAATCCCACTGTTGGGAATCTGCACAACAGAAACAAAAGAAGGTAAAACTAGAGTTCCAGGTGAACATTAGAAACAACTTGAATGTCTGTAGTAGGTAATGGCTCAAAATACAGACACATTCCATTCTAGAAATATTCTGAACCTTACAAAGAATGGGTTACATCTTTATGTACTGACCTGGAAAAGTATTCATGATTATTGTGAAAAGGACAAGATGCTGTCAAATGTCCGTATAGGGGGTAAAATCTCCTCCAAACACATGCAACAAACACTTTCTGTGTACAGGCTGTTTGAGCATAAAGGAAGAAGAAATACACATACTGGTTATTGCAGAGATTTGTGGGAGGAGAGGAAATTGTTTTCATTTTATTTATGCTATATTTCACTGGTTTCAGTGAAACATGTAATTTTAGAAAATTTATTCTCAATAACGGTTAATACAGTAACTCAGAAACAGCATTAAAATGAAAGCAAAATTTACACTTTAATTAGTTTTCCATTTTCTCACTTAAAAACATTTGATTTTCAAGGATTACCTAAATAAATCAATACTAATGAAACATGGTGGCTTACCAACATTTTCCTTAAATAAAACAAAGACAATGTATATTTCCATCAACAAATTTCATGCTAGACTAGGATGGGGAGGGAGGAGAGGAAACCTGACTGGCTTCTCACCAGTATGAAGAGTCTGACGTAAGTTAAGTTGTAATCCATGATTAAACGCCTTCCCACATTGATAAGGTTTCTTTCCAGAATGAATTCTCTGATGGTGCGAGAAGCTTGAATGATAGCTAAAGGCTTTCCCACATTCCTTACATTCATAGGGTTTCTCACCAGTATGAATTCTTTGATGTTGAATAAGGTGTGAATGAAGTCTAAAGGCCTTACCACATATCACGCATTCATGAGGTTTCTCACCAGTATGAATTCTCTGATGTCTTTTGAGGTGTGAACACTGTCTGAAAGTCTTCCCACATTCTTTACACTCATAGGGTTTCTCACCAGTATGAATCCTCTGATGTAGGGTTAGTTGTAAGCCATCACAAAACGCCTTCCCACATTCATGACATTCATAAGGTTTCTTGCCAGAATGAATTTTCTGATGGTGCGAGAAGCTTGAGTGATAGCTAAAGGCCTTCCCACATTCCCGACATTCATAGGGTTTCTCACCAGTATGAATTCTCTGATGTATAGTAAGATGTGAGCGATGCCTAAAAGTCTTTCCACATTCTTTACATTCATAAGGTTTCTCACCAGTATGGAGTCGCAGATGTTCAGTAAGTTGAAAGCCACGAATAAAAGCTTTCCCACATTGCTTACATTCATAGGGTTTTTCACCAGTATGAAGTCTCTGATGTTGAGTAAGCTGTGATCGCTGTCTAAAGGCCTTTCCACATTCTTTGCATTCATAAGGTTTCTCACCAGTGTGAATTCTTTGATGTAGAGTAAGTTCTGAGCCATAATTAAAGGCCTTCCCACATTCGTTACATTCATAGCGTTTTTCACCATTATGAATTCTTAGATGTTGTTTAAGTTGTGAGCAATGAACAAAGGCCTTCCAACATTCTTTACACTCATTGCATTTGTCACCATTTTGAATTGTCTGTTGTTTAAAAACGCATGGTGTATTAACAATTTCCGTGCATTCTTTACATTCGGAAAGTTCTTTAGAATGAGTTTTGTGGTGACTAAAATATAAATGGTAACTGAAGATTTTTCTACACTTTTTACATTCAGAGATTTTCTCTCTATCATAAAATTCTTGAGTGAGTAAAGTATGTTGGCTAAAAATGGGCATGTTTTCATGGTTAATCATAAGTCGTCTAAAATAACCCTCCTCTTGTCCCTGATGTTGCTCAAAATGACAGTTGCCTTCCCAGATATCTCTGAAAATTGATCTCTCAGGACTATGGCTTTTAAATTCCTCCATGTTAACCCACTGGAATAATTCTGTTTCATAAATATCACTTTTTGGAGGTAACTTCTGGGGCTCATCTCTGGATGCCAAGTCTGAAAGATAAGAAATACATTTTAACTCCTGATTTTGTACTATAAGAGAAATAAAATATCTATGGTAGCAATGAGAGATAACTACAAATAATTCACATAAGAAATAAAAGGCTTGGAGAACTCTTACGTGGGTAAAGGAGCACAGGGAAATGAGAGCACTCAAATGAAGGAGTTAATTAGGGAAATAGTTCAATGGTGCTGAAATTTTGATCCGCCTCTGAATTACCTTGAGAGTTTGTTGCAATTATGGATGTTTAGGAAACATTCTAAATCAACTCAATCAGAATTTAAGAGAGTTAGTCTTAGAATGAGGTCAACTGAGTCCAAGTCCATATGCTTAACACTATCAGGCCAAAGGTTTATGTGGCAGATTGTCAGCTGTTGTCAAATATCTATTTTCCTTTTTAAAAAATATCAATTGAACCCACGGCTTTTTATTTGAGAATAAAGCTGCCAATATGAACTCTGCATTTCCCAAGCTCCTTTACAGCTGGGAATGTCATGCAACTTGGGTTCTGCCTAAAGAAATACAGAAATATTATGTAATACCATCTGAATTCTTTCCTTAAGAGTCAGGTGGCCCAAGCCCTATATTGCTTGTTTTCCCTCTTCCTCAACAAAGCTGATGGCAATATTGATTTGCTGTCATGTCTGTCACATAATGGTTTTGCAGAGTAGGTACCTTTCCAGCTTGGATTTTAATGCAAGAGAAAATTAAATTTCTATGCCTGGGTTGTATCAAAAAAAGAAAATTAATTTAAACATCTATATGGTTTCAATCACAATTGTTCTGGGTCTCTGTCACAAGCAGCTTAATCTACATACATACAAAAACAGCTTCCCACGGAAATTTTAAAACTTCAGCTCCTTGTCATAAGAATACAAGGCTTCTGCTAACCAATATAATCTCACTTTGAGTTCAATTCCTTTTTATTCATTAGGCTATAACGAAATTAATCTGTCAACAACTAGGACATGCCACAGCTGTTCCTATGTTAGAGCCTCATAGCCTCTTCCATGTGCTAAGAATCTTTTTGCCTAGATTTTTTGTAAAGCGGGCTTCATTTCATCCAAGTCTCAGAGTAAAAGTCACTTCCTCAAAAGTGTATCCCCGATAATATTACCGAATGGAGTCCTTCCTGAAGTACTACTGGAATTACATATTCATTTATTATTCATCTTTTTAATATTTGGCCAGGCATGGTGGCTCATACCTGTAATCCCAGAACTTTGTAAGGCCTAGGCAGGTAGATCACTTGAGGTCTGGCATTCGAGACCAGCCTGGCCAACATGGTGAAACCCTGTCTCTACTAAAAATACAAAAATTAGCTGGGCGTGGTGGCACGTGCCTGTAATCCCAGCTACTGGGGAGGCTGATGCAAGAGAATTCCTTGAACCGGGAGGTGGAGGTTGCCGTGAGCCAAGATCATGCCACTGCACTCTAACCTGGGCAACAGAGTGAGACTCTGTCTCAAAAAAAAAAAAAAAAAAAAAAAAAATATATATATATATATATATATGTGTGTGTGTGTGTGTGTGTGTGTGTGTGTGTGTGTGTGTATTTTTTTTTTACCCATAAAGCTACTCAAGGAGAGAGAAATCACTATAAAACCAACCTTTACAATATAATAAGTATTCAACAATCAGTTGCTGAATAAATGAATTAAATTATTAAGGAAAAGGAATTAAGATGAAGAGAAACAATACAAAGATAACAGTTGACAATCATAATCATTTAATGCCCTTAAATTTGTAATAAATACTGAACATCTCTCCATGTTTCTATTCACTCCTACATCTACTGCACTGATTTTATATATAAACACATACGTGGCCGGGTGTGGTGGCTCAACCACACTGTACAGATGTTCAAAACTGTTTTCTATCCTTATTCTAAGTGCTTTTTCTGTTCTTAAAAATTTTGTTTTTTACTTTTTAACTTTTTTACTTTTTAACTAATCCCAGCACTTTGGGAGGCTGAGACGGGCGGATCACGAGGTCAGGAGATCAAGACTATCCTGGCTAACACGGTGAAACCCCGTCTCTACTAAAAAATACAAAAAACTAGCTGGGCGAGGTGGCGGGTGCCTGTAGTCCCAGCTACACGGGAGGCTGAGGCAGGAGAATGGTGTAAACCTGGGAGGCGGAGCTTGCAGTGAGCTGAGATCCAGCCACTGCACTCCAGCCCGGGTGACAGAGCAAGACTCCGTCTCAAAAAAAAAAAATAAACACATACGTAACTAAACCATGTACTTGCTTATCTATAACAAGCCACTCCAACTGAGTGGCTTAAAACAGTAAGCCATTTATTATTACTGTTACTACTGCTGTTGTAATTATTAGTGAAAACCAAGTCATGCTTTGTTACCCAGGTGAGAGTGGGTGCAGTGGTGCAATCACAGCTCACTGCAGGCCCGACCTCCTGAGCTCAAGAAATCCTCCTACCTCACTCAGCGTTTGGAGAAGCTGAGACTATAGGGGTGTGCCACTATGCCCTGCTAATTCTTAAATCTTTTTTTTTTTTTTTTTTTGTAGAGAAAAGATCTCACTTTGTTGCCCAGGCCGGTCTTGAACCCCTGGTTTCAAGTGATTCTCCTGCCTCAGCCTCTCGAAGTGCTGAGATTATAGGCACGAGCCACCACACCAGACCCATTTATCATTATTGTCTTTCAGTCCTGAGGATTAACTGAGCTCAACCAGGCATTCCTTACTTGGTGTTTCTCCAGTGACAGTCACACATTGGTCAGGCTGGATCATTCCAATAGCTTCCCCACTCACATGTCTGGTACCAGACCTGAGGAAATATGTAAAGCTTGGGACTGTACCAGCTGTGATGCCTGGGGCTTTCTATCCTTATGTGGTCTCTCTACATGGTATGCCCAGCATAGCTGTTTCAAGGTAACAGATGCCCTCTTACCTGCAACTCAAGACTCCAAAAGCATATGGGAAATGCAGGGAGGGAGGGAGGGTATGTGAGCATATGCCAGGCACAAGCTGTCTACTTTTATGACCTAGCCTCAGAAATCACAAAGTATTTCTATTTGTTGGAAACAAGTCACTTAGGGCTGTCCCATTTTCAAAGCAGGAAGTTAGACTCCATTTTTTTTTTTGGTGGGGGTGTTCGAGGACTGTCACAGAAATGGCAGACATGGTGTGTGTGTGTGTTTTTTGGTGGGGGAGGGGCACAGAGTCTTGTTCTGTAGCCCAGGCTGGAGTGCAATGGTGCGATCTCGGCTCACTGCAACCTCTGCCTCCTGGGTTCAAGCGATTCTCCTGCCTTGGCTTCCCAAGTAGTTGGGATTACAGGTGCCCACCACCATGCCCAGCTAATTCTTGTATTTTTAGTTGAGACAGGGTTTCACCATGCTGGCCAGGCTGGTCTTGAACTCCCAACCTCAGGCGATCCACCCGCCTTGGCTTCCCAAAGTGCTGGGATTAAAGGCATGAGCCACCGTGCCCAGCCAGCAGACATATTTAAAACAACCACTACACTCACACACATACTTATTAAGCACAGATATAAGCACAAACACACACTTTTCTACATCACTTCCTTACAGAAGACGTTTTTACTAAGTGAACATACCTGTGAAACCACCACTTAACCAAGAAACAGAACATTACCAGGAACCCAGAGCCCTCAAGGCCCTTCCCAGGCTTACCTTACCCACGAAAGGTAAGCAGTATCCTGCCTTCTTACACCATGCAGTGGGTTTTTGTCTATTTCTGAATTTCAAATAAATGGAATGATATAGGATGTACTTTTTTCCTCCAGCACCTTCTGTCCAGTACCATGTGTGAAGTTCATTTGTAATATTACATATAGTAGTAGTTTCTTCATTTTCATTACTATATAGCAGCAGTACGCAATGGGTGGTCCCAGGACCATGGAGGGTACCTGAGACCCTATCAGGAAGTCTGTAAGGTCAAAGCTATTTTCATACTAATCCTGAGACATTTGTCTTTTTTACTTATTCTCTTAACACTGGACAGGGGAGTTTCTGAGAGACTACTAGAAGTGTGATAACATCACATTCTGAAATCTAACAGAATGCGTGATTATGTGTTTCTGTGTGTTCTAGAAGTTTCTATAGTAGGTTTGGGGAATAAACATGTACGTTCAGAGATTAGTTTTGTTATCAGTACTTCTACTGTGCTCTTAAAAACTGTATTTTATACCTGCTTTTATGTCTGTAGCCTCATTATTGTCCAAGAAATTATTGTGAAATCCCCAAGTTTTCCATGTACCTACATGGAAACAAAAGAATACTTCATTTTAGAATAATATTTTATTATACAATAAAAAGAGAATATGTATTTCTTTTTTTTTAATAGACAGAGTTTCGCTCTTGTTCCCCAAGCTGGAGTGCAATGACACAATCTCGGCTCACTGCAACCTCCGCCTGCCAGGTTCAAGCAATTCTCCTGCCTCAGCCTCCCGAGTAGCTGGGATTACAGGCACGCACCACCACGCCTGGCTAATTTTTTGTATTTTTAGTAGAAATGAGGTTTCACCGTGTTAGCCAGGCTGGTCTCAAACCCCTGACCTCAGGTGATCCGCCTACCTAATCCTCCCAGAGTGCTGGGATTACAGGTGTGAGCCACCGCGCCTGGCCGAGAATATGTATTTCTTATACTTGAAAATGGATGTTGGGTTTTTTTGTTTTTTGTTTTTGGAGACAGAGTATGTGTTTTTTGGTGGGAAAGGGGCATGGAGTCTTGCTCTGTGCCCCAGGCTGGAGTGCAATGGTGTGATCTTGGCTCACTGCAAGCTCCACTTCCTGGATTCAAGCAATTCTCCTGCCTCAGCCTCCCAAGTAGCTGGGATTACAGGCGCAAACCACCGTATCCGGCTAATTTTTGTATTTTTAGTAGAGATGGGGTTTCACCGTGTTGGCCAGGCTGGTCTTGAACTCCTGACCTCAGGTGATCCCCCCGCCTCAGTCTCCCAAAGGGCTGGGATTACAGGTGTAAGCCACCGTGCCTTGCCAGTTTGTTTGTTTTGAGATGGAGTCTTGCTCTGTCACCCAGGCTGGAGTACAGTGGCACAGTCTCAGCTCACTGCAGCCTCTGCCTCCCAGGTTCAAGCAGTTCTCTGCCTCGGCCTCCTAAGTAGCTGGGATTACAGGCACATGCCGCCACATCGGCTAATTTTTTTTGTATTTCTAGTAGAGATGGGGTTTCACCATGTTGGTCAGGCTGGTCTCGAACTCCTGGCCTCAAGTGATTCGTCTGCCTCGTCCTCCCAAAGTGCTGGGATTAGAGGTGTGAGCCACCGTGCCTGGCCAGGTTTCTCTATTTTTTGAGACTACTTTTATTATTAAAATATCTGGCCTGGTGTGGTGGCTCACATCTGTAATCCCAGCACTTTGGGAGGCTGAGATGGGAGGATTACTTGAGTCGAGGAGTTTGAGACCAGCCTGGGCAACATAGCGAGACCTTTTCTCTACTAAAAAAAAATAAAAAGAGAAATATCGTTGGGTGTAGTGGTGTGTACACCACCTGTGGTCCCAGCTACTTGGGAGGCTGAGGTGGGAAGACTGCTTGAGCCTGAGAGGTCCAGGCTGCAGTGAGCTGTGATCACTCCACTGTACTCCAGCATGGGTAAGAGTGAGAGACCCCATCTCAACAACAAAAAAGTTCTGTTGTACAACCCTGTGCCCACACTTGACAACACTGCATTGTGCACCTAAAAATCCACTAAGAGGGTAGATCTCATGTAAAGTATTTACAACACAAGAAAAATTTTAAAAGTGTTTACATATTTAATAAATACTTTTTTCTATTTCTTAGCACATAATACCAATGTAAATATTTATGATAGCAATCATAGTTAAATTTCTCAATATTTGTTTTTGAGAAACACTTTATTATTTTTTGAGAAACACTTTATTTCCCACTTTATTGAGGGAAAATTGACAGTTAAAATTTATATATTTAAAGCATACAACCTGATAATTTGATATACATTTACATTGTGAAATAATCACTACAGTCAGCTAACTAACATATTCATCACCTTATATAGTTAACTGTTTTCTTTTTTTTTTTTTTCTGGTGAGAACATTTAACATGTACCCTCAGCACATTTCAAGTATACAATACAGTACTGCCAACTAGAGTCATAATATATTATGTCAGATCTTCAGAATCCACTCATCTTGCACAACTGAAGCTTTATTTTATTTATTTATTTATTTATTTTTGAGATGGAGTCTCGCTCTGTTGACTAGGCTGGAGCGAACTCAGCTCACCACAACCTCCGCCGCCCAGGTTCAAGTGATTTTCCTGCCTCAGCCTCTTGAGTAGCTGGGACTACAAGCATAAGCCACCATGCCTGGCTAATTTTTGTATTTTTAGTAGAGGCGGGGTTTCACTATGTTGGCCAGGCTGGTCTGGAACTCCTGACCTCGTGATCCACCTGCCTCCGCCTCCCAAAGTGCTGGGATTACAGGCGTATGTGCCTGGCCGCATAACTGAAGCTTTATACTTTTCGACCAACATCTCCCCATTTCCCCTACCCATCTCATTATTCTGTTCTCTGCTTCTATGACTTTGGCTATTTTTGGTGCTTTCCTTTTTTTTTTTTGAAATGGAGTCTCACTCTCGCCCAGGCTGGAGTGCAGTGGCATGATCTCAGCTCACTTCAACCTCCACCTCCTGAGTTCAAGTGATTCTCCTGCCTCAGCCTCCTGAGTTGCTGAAACTACAGGCACACCCCACCATGCCCGGCTAATTTTTGTATTTTTAGTAGAGATGGGGTTTCACCATGTTGGCCAGGCTGGTCTCAAACTCCTGACCTGAAGTGATCTACCCGCCTCGACCTCCCAAAGTGCTGGGATTACAGGCGTGAGCCACCGTGCCTGGCAAGATTTTGACTATTTTGTTGTTGTTGTTGCTGCTGCTGTTGTTGTTTGAGACGGAATTTCACTCTTGCTGCCCAGGCTGGAGTGCAATGGTATGATCTCAGCTCACTGCAACTTCCGCCTCCCGGGTTCAAGCGATTCTCCTGCCTCAGCCTCCCGAGTAGCTGGGAATACAGGTGTGCGCCACCACGCCCAGCTAATTTTTTGTATTTTTAGTGGAAACGGGGTTTCACCATGTTGGCCAGGCTGGTCTCGAACTCCTGACCTCAGGTGATCCGCCCGCCTCTGCCTCCCAAAGTGCTGGGATTACAGGCATGAGCCGCCACACCAGGCCAAAATTAGACTTTAGGAAAGTTTGTATTGGCCCCTGTGAGCTTGACAGCTTCCAAATACTTAAAGACTTTTCTGACTAGATGAGTGGTGTTATTAACAAGTATGATTTTTTGGCTATTTTATAAGAAAATGTGTCAAAGTCTGGAAGATCTGTATAACTAATTGGAGCAATATTTTCCAAATAACTAATGAACCATGTTACAAAACAGGTACCATAGATAAGAGAACCATTCAAAGAACAAGACAGACTAGTGAGTTTTAATTTAATAGATTAAATTCAGAGGCAGATGTGAGATCCACCTATCTTCTTTTAATCCCAGCATTAAAGAAATGTGCAAAAAATGAAAAACATTGCCACTTTTCACACTAAATATTTTTGTTTTGTTTGGAAAACATAACTGATTTATGTTAACATATAGTTCATTCTCTTTAAATGAATTAAATGAATATTTCCTTTTTCCTAGATTTAATTTATAATACAGTTAATATTGAAGGATATAATCTACATATGCAAGAGCTCTTGGGGTTCTCAATAATTTTTAAGAGCATAAAGGCATCCTGAGAATAAAAAGTTTGAGACTGATAGCTATATACAGCACTCCATTCTAACACAATGTATTTTTCCATACACCTAATGATGGACAATCTGGTTGCTTCCGATAGTTGACTATTATGATTAGTGCTGCTATGAACATTCTTGTACATTTCTTTTAGTGGAAATAATTACTCTTTTCTGTTGCGTATGCACATCGGAGTGAAATTGCTGCATCATAGGATATAAATTTCTTCAGCTGTAGTTGACATTATGCAAAAATTTTCTAATTTAGGCCAGGTGTGGTGATTCATGCTTGTATTCTCAGCACTTTGGGAAGCTGAGACAGGCAAATCTCTTGAGGTCAGGAGTTTGAGACCAGCCTGGCCAACATGGTGAAACCCCGTCTCTACTAAAAATACAAAAATTAGCTCGGTGTGGTGGTGGGTGCCTGTAATCCCAGCTACTTGGGAGGCTGAGGCAGGAGAATCGCTTGAACCCAGGAGGTGGAGGTTGCAGTGAGCTGAGATGTGCCAGTGCACTCCAGCCTAGGTGACACAGCAAGAATCTGTCTCAAAAAAGCAAAAATAAATAAATAAATAAATAAAATTCTAATTTTAAATTCCATCAGGCTGTCAGAGAGTTCTGATTCTTTACATCCTTATCAACACTTGCTATTGTCAATCTTTTTATGTTTAGTCATCCTGGCATGTGTGTTTACATCGTAATATAATTTGCAATTTCCATAAGGACAAATAAGGCTGAGTACTTTTTTATGTTTATTGGCCAACTGGATATCTTTAATAAACTGCCATCCAGGCCTTTTGTCCATTTTTACTGATTTTTAATGTAAAATTCATGTAACGTAAAATTCACCATTTTAAGCATTTTAATGTACACAATTCAATAAGTTTTAGTATATTCTCAATGATGTGCAACCATCACCATCATCTAATTACACAACGTTTGCATCACTCCAAAAAGAAACCTAAAACTCACAGTCACTTCCCACTTTCCCCTTTCCCCTGTCTGGACAACTATTAATCTGTTTTAGGTCTCTGTGATTTTGCCTATTCTAGACATTTTATATAAATGGAATCATACAATATGTGACCTTTTGGGTTTTGCTGTTTCCACTCAGCATGTTTTCAAGGTTCAGCCAAGTAGTAGCATTCATTCCTTTTTATGGTTGAATTGTATGGATATACCACATTTTGTTTATCCATTCATCAGTAAATTGGACATGTGGGTGATTTCTGGGTTGTCTTTTCTTTCTTTTTTTTTTTTTTTTGAGACGGAGTCTCGCTCTGTCACCCAGGCTGGAGTGCAGTGGCGCAATGTCTGCTCACTGCAAGCTCCGCCACCTCCCGGGTTCACGCCATTCTCCTGCCTCAGCCTCCCGAGAAGCTGGGACTACAGGCGCCCGCCACCACGCCCGGCTAATTTTTTTTTTTTTGTATTTTTAGTAGAGACAGGGTTTCACCGTGTTTGCCAGGATGGTCTCGATCTCCTGACCT